GCAAGCACAATAAACCAGGAGCCAAGGGCTCCTCTTCATCAGATCCGCTTCTTTCCCCATGGGATCCCGAGGGAGAGTGAATGCTAACAAAGCCAGCAGGCTGTCTCATTCCACTCTATTGCTCATTTGCAGCTATAATTGGTAGCTGAGGTTGCATTCTGTATTCTGAAACTGTCATCCATGAAGGAATATATTTGTTCATTGTGATTTGGATATAAATCGACTGGTATCCATCCACATGGAGTAAGACCAAACTGGCCACACCACAGCGAGACTGGAGAAAGGCAGGTAGCCCAGAGATAAATAAAATGGCTGCTCTCTCAGTGTGAGTGATCGACGGTGTCTATCTCAGTACTGCGTTTACAGAGTAAGATGATAAGAAGGCAGAAATGCCCGGTTTGGGCAAGATGAAGTGTGCCCAGGGTAGAGCAGTATAAAAATGAGAGGGCTTGCATTTTGCTTGGGAGCATCTTTACTTATCTTGTTTCTTTTGAGAATGAGAATGAAGGCACAATTTGTTATCTTTTGTAGGGAACAAAGTGTCTTAGAGGAAAGATCAGTTTGGTCTCCAAGGCCTGGGAATATTGAAGTGTTTTTAAAAATAGCTTTTGAGTACTCACTTATGATGTAAATAGATTTAAAACTCACTCTGAGATCTCTCAGCCTGGGGGTGTAACCTCCCCCCACTCCCATTTTACAGATGAGAAAATTGAGACCCGAAGAGTGACTTACCTGAAAATGCACAGCATTAAGCAGAATGGGGCTTTGAATCTGGATTTTCTAACTCTATTCCTGCACTCTGTCTATGCCCCTGCCTGCCCGGATGAGAATTAGAAGCACAAACATGGTGGTTTTGTTTGTTTGTGTGAGTTTAAAAATTGCATGTGTTAGGCTGAAATCAGAAGAGTTTGGAACACCTGTTCCGCTTTATTCTAGTACTGTAGATGAAATACATAGTGCAGATCCTTAGAGGAGAGAGTGGCAGGCACGCAGTGGGGTATACTGTAGGGGGTTCTCATTTACTTCTCCCCCTTCCTCTGGCCTCTTTTGAGTTACATATTCCATGTACTGACCCCAATTTCGACCAGATCTCCATTTAAAAAAAAAAATTCAAACAATTTCTGTGTGCGTGTAGATAGATATAGATACAGATAAACACATCATTTGATTCCTTTATACAACCCCTGCCCAGTGCCTTGTGAGCGCACTCCCTCAGCTCTGTGGAGCCTTTTCTCTTTTCCCCTTGAAAGATGCTCCCTGTAGGATGTGACACATTGGCGCATGATGTACAGTGTTCAGACTCTTGTTGGGCACCCCCCCCCCCACGCACACCATGAGACCGTAAGATCATAGCATTGATAGGTTTGTCATAATGATGCTCGCAAAGCGAGCATTTTGAGAAAGAACTATTCTGCACACATCAGTATTCTTAAGGAGTTAAACTTACTGTCCAGAGCACCCACTGGGCAGTGATCAGCAGTTAATTAATTGCCTTGTGTGTTTGGTTATTTTTTTAAGGGTCTTCAGGCGGTCTTCCTACCTTGACCTCAAACTCTCTGAGAAAGAGCCCTGTCTTTATCCTTCTTTGTCCCCCTCAGACTTTGGGGCAGCCCCTTCAGCATGAACCACACAAGAAGCAGCAGCGTGATGCTGTAGGGGGGAAAAAACTGGTCCTGGTGTTGGGAGAGATCTGGGTTCTAATCTTGCCTCTCACATTTAGCTGTGTGACCATGGGCAAACCATTTAACTTTCCTGAGCCTCGATTTCCTTATCTAAGGAGACGGTAAGTGATTCCAGTAGAACTTACCTCGAAGGGCTGCACTGAAGCGCCAGTAAGAATCTAGGTAGAGTGAGCAGGAAACTCTGAGCACAAAATTTGCTTCCATTTTAAAATATCACTGGTAGCTCTTGGTCTACAAAGAAAGGCAAAAACAGGGCAATGACAGGCAGCCAACTGGACAAATGAACTATAGACAGGACAAGTTGGAGGGAATCTGGGGAAAGCCCTGAGTGGGAGCACTGCAGAAGGGAAGAGGAAGCCAAGGGAAGCCAGAGGAGGGGGAGGAGGGAGAGGAGGGAGAGCGTGCTGGGCACGGGGAGGAGCACCGAGGATCCTGACGGTCACTGGATCTCATAGTGTCAGGAGGGGGCGAGTTAGGTGCGAGAAGGCTGGAAAGGTAGGAAGAGGCCACTGTGTGAAGCACTTTGGACACCAGAGAGAAACTTTGTGTTTGATCCTGGAGGCATAGGGAGCTGCTGGTGTTTATTGAGTAGGGGGTGACATGGTCAGATCTGTGCTTTAGGAAGATCTCTTAGACTGCTGAATGGAGGATAAACTGGAGTGGGGAGAGCATGGAGGTAGGCAGACACCGCCCCCCCCCCCCCCCAGCAGCTATTGACAGTGTCAGAGGAAAGAAGGGGGCACATTCGGGAGACGTTGCCAAGGGGGAAACAACACGGCTTGACTTCTGATTGAGTGAATGTGGGGAGTGAGAGTTTGCTTCAGTTGCCTATTGGTGGCTGCTTTTGTAGGGTGTGGTGATTTGGTCTACCTTTTTGTAAAGCAATAGGACCTGGTATGGCAGGACAAGCCTTGTTTATTCATCTTTAATGCTTGTTACCAACGATGGACAGGTGTGGTGGCCAGGGGTAAGGCAGTGGTGGGCCTCCCTGAACTTTCCTTATACCCCGTCTGGCTGTCACGTGTTAGGTGTGCCCTCAGGGCCTTCAGGCCATGCCACGCCACGTGAGGGTGAGTTGAAGGAACAAGGGCTGGCCGCCCTGAAACAGGGAAGGCGCTATGATTACTGTCGTCCAGTGTTTGTAAGGCTGATGCAGCAGACATCTTTGGCTTAGCCCGGAGACAGAACTAGAGGCAGCACAGAGGCAGATTGAGGTCTGGCAGTGAGAATTGCCCCAACGGGTTACGGGCGGCCCTGGAGGTCCTGCGATAAAAGCCAGATGACCACTTGTCGGGTGTGTGCCGTGGAATAAGCGGATGACCCCTTTCGCCTCGGATCTTTGAGAAGCACCAGAGCCTCCTTTTTGAATGGGCTGTTAGTGGAGAAGCCCTTTGGGATGGGGCCCAGGGCCCAGGCTTGGGAGTCCAGACGCTTGAGTTCTAGGCTCCAGGCTTCCATTAGATGTGACCTGCTGCAGGTCGTCACTTGCCTCCTCACTGTCAATGTCTTCATCTGTGAAATGGGAGTGCAAATGCTGTTTTAAGATTTGCCTCAAGGCTCTTGAGAGGAAAACACTTTGTAAACTATGTACCAGTTATTAGAGGTGCCCCCGCTGCTTAATTACCTCTTGAAATGCTTCTCTGCTTGATGAGATTTTTTCTAAAGGCCTATTTCCCATTTGTTTCTTTTTTCAGTGTCACCCTGTTGGCCTGGCAGAAGTGACTTATAATCATCCTAGGTACATTATTAGGTGCTTTGCCCATAAATTAGGATCCTGGGTCTAGGGCTGGGAACGACCTCAGAGGCTCTGAAGCCCAAGGAAATGAAGGGACCTGCCTGCCATCATACAGGTGATCAGAGGCAAGATTTGAGCTAAAGAGAGACAGTTGGGTGGTGCAGTAGATAGTGTTGTACCTGGAGTCAGGAAGACCTGAGTTCAAATCCAACCTCATATATTTACTAGCAGGGGGACCCTAGCTAAGTCATTTGGCCTTTGTTCGCCTCAGTTTCCCTAGCTGTAAAATGGAGATAATAATAGCACCTCCGGGGTTGCTGTAAGGATCAAATGAGGTAATATTTTCAAGTGCTTTGGAAACCTTAAAGAGCTTTGTAAATGCTAACCATTATTCCTTTCACTATAATTCTGTCAGTGGTGGGGTAAATGTAGAGAATGCCTGTAGGAAGTAGTATTTACCTCTCAGATGTTACAGGACTCAAAAGAGATGATGGCAGATGCTTTGTAAACCTTAAATAAGTATCAGTTATTATGACTTATGAAGTACGTCCTCAGTAAACGTGTGCTGATTGATAGAAGTGGTTGTGTCATTGTTTTGGGTTAGAGGAAGGGGAAGGATTCTTCCATGTGTGTGGTCAGCAGGCCCATGATGTGTTCAGGACTGGTATCGTCCTCTCAGGCACGGTAGTGGGGATGCCGTGGGCTTCCAGTCAGCATTCTGCTCCCAGAGTCTGCCCCCCAGCCAGCTCCAGCTGATGCGTGGAGGAGAGGCCTCTGGGCACCGGACACATCCTGGGATCAGCAGTTTACTGCTCGGAATGTTGTTTCTTATCTGGTGATTAGTAGCTAGTTCAGCAGTTAGAGTGAAGCAGACGAACTCCTTAACCTGCTGAGTGTTTCTCTTCCTCTCCCCTGGTCGTAGGGGCAGGGCCGTGGCATTGTTGGTGTGACGCCCTTCTCCAGCGTGATTGAGATAGTCCAGAAGCGTTGCTTCCCGGTCCACCTCCGAGTCTGTCTCTGAGGTCAGGGGTGCCAGCCTGCCAACATCTGCAGCTTCTCTAGTCCCTGGACTGTCGGGGAGGTAGCTTGCCCTATCGCCTGAGGCCCAAGGAGGCCCCTGCTTCTGTAAGCCTGGGTGCTACCAGCCTCTAGCTGAGTACACGCTCCTTCTCTGTCTGCATGTAAGAGACATAGCTGATGGTGGCCTTAATAGGGATCAGAATGGAATGATGCTGAAAAAATGTGCCCCCCAGATGTGGGGGAGGGCCCCCTGGTTTTCTAACAAAACATTTGTTGTCCTCACATATTGGGGAGCTCTTCTACATGGCTGCAGCCTGTTCCTTTGGGGGGCTGCCGGGTGACTAGATGTTTTCTCATTGATTTTCTTCTCTGACTCAGAAGTTCACAGATTGAGAGCTAGAGGAGACCCTGATGTTGTTCTAGGCTTGTCCTGTTTCTTGATTGAAGAGAGGCCTGGGGCCCCCAAGGGCGGGTCACACAGCTGGGACATGAGCCCCGATTCTCAGACCCGGTCCTCTTTCCAGTGTGTCTCCATAACGTGGACTTTTATGTTTGTCTGGCAGGATTATAAAGCAGATGAAGACCCAGCATTATTCCAGTCGGTGAAGACCAAGAGAGGACCTTTGGGACCCAACTGGAAGGTACAGTCCCCGAAGGGTGCTGATGGATGTTCTTAGCAACAGAGCATTGATTGAGCAGTTAGTAAATCTTGAGAAGGGACTGGTGTTTACGGGAAAAATATAATGGGCTCCCTGGAGTTTGGTTCCCTGGAAGCAGCTAGTGGATGTATCTATCCAGCTAGTCAGCATGTGGGCAGCCCCCCAGTAACAACCGGAGTGGCCCCAAACCCACTTTAAGTGCAGCACCCTTTGGAGAAAGCTGGGTTTGGGAGGGCGGGGTTCACACTGACTGGACAACGAAACTCTTCCCTTGCAGATTTATGTTTTGGTTAGCCTTTGACAAATGCTAAATAAGTTGTCTGCCCAAAGAACCTCATTTATTTACATTTATTAATTATTCTTTAGCTGTCGGAACCAATGTTTGTGTCTAGTTGGACTAGTGTTCTGACCCAGCCAGCACTGCTGGGCACAGAAGATCCAGAGGCAAAAACAAACTAATCCCTGCCCCCAAGGAGGGTCCATTTCCTTGGCAGACAGAGAAGCATGTCCACAGTTTAAGGTTTGAGTCAGGAGAGGGAACGCTGCCCGTGGGGCTGTGAGGCTGGGCTGCTCGGAGGAGTCAGGTGGACTGTGCAGAGCATGGAGGGGGCAGGGAGAGCAGGGGCTGGGAGCCAGCAGGGAGCCCCCAGGGCTGGCATGTAGAGTTCAGGACAAGTAGTGATAATCAGGTAGCGCAAAAGGCAAGCAAAAGGCACCTGGGAAAGCCTTGGCCAGTGCTTCATCCTGGAGGCAGGAGGGACCCTCCTGAGGACCGTATTACATAGCAGTCATGCAGTCAGGCTCGATAACTTGATAGCTGTGCAGCATGGATTAGGGACCTTTGGATCATGGATCTGAGCTGGAAGTCTCCCTTGCATCAGTGCGTGTGAGGAAACTGAGGCCCAGGGAGGCTGTCATCATCAGAGCTAATGTTCTTGACCACTCTCCCTCCTTCAGGTAAAGCTGTTGCAGTTGATAACAGTGGCAGAGGATGAGGCCCTGAAAGGAGGGCAGATGGCCACAGACCACTTGTTAGGAGCATGGGGGCGTGTGGGTGTGTAAAAGAGGAAAGAATGGAAATGACTCCGGGGAAGAACAGTGGTGATCTTGTCAGGGATTGAGGGGATGGAGTTTGGAGGGGTGGGTTTGGTAGGAGGAAGAAAAGGAGCTCCATTTGGGGATGTGTCCATGGGGCATCCTGATGGAGGTGCCCAGGTTGCCTAGAGGTAATATGGACTAGCGTGATCTTAGTTTATTCACCTAAGCCTTAGGGGATAGGAGCATTAAGACAGTTGTTTGAATTTGCCTTATGAATTTAACGTATTTCAGAGTGCCCATTGAGTCACATGGCCAGCCTTAAAGGAAGCTTGGATGGATTGATGCTTATGTATTTCTGGTCATGGGACAAGAAAAGGATGTAAATACTCCCTGTAATTAAAAATGCCCAGAGCAGGTTTTCTGCCATCAGGGCTTATTTCGCAACTCATCTGCCTGTTTTTAAGCCACTCTCAGGCCACCTATAAATAGTATGTGTCTAGGTGCCAGTTGGTGCTTGAAAATAGGGATTGTTGTGATGTTACAGCAAATAACTCGTGCGGTGGCTTATTAAAGAAGCCATGTGTCTCTGGAGAGCTTGGGCCCCCCGATGGATTCCTTCTCTGTCTGACAGACAGTCTCTAGTCCTGCCTCGAGGCTGCTGCCTCCAAGACTAGCCCTGGCATTGTTTGGTAAGAGGTGGTACAATTGGGGGAATAAAACCTTATCCATCTGCAGTCTGTATGTTACTAAAATTCAGACTGATGTTTTCTTGAAACGACTTGTACAAATTAGAACCAGAGACTTGCTCAAAAGTTATCAGCAATTTCCTATGTAGGATTTTCTGTTATTTGTAAGTTAGAGGAGACACACATTTTCCTAAATTTATTTTAACATATTCTTGAAACTGTCTCACTCGTTTTGAGCTTTGTGCCAGCTATGCTGAAGCAGGCCTGAAGGCTGTCACTGGGAAGCCCTGGCTCTTCTTTGAAAGAGAAGGCCACGCTAGGAGCAGTCAGCGGGCCCACTTGCTCTCCTGTACTCACGTTTTAAAGACTTCAGTCTCACAGATACTGGCCTCTCTAGCCAAATAATTTATAGGACTTCAAATGAGCAACAGAGAACAGAGGATTGTGAGACTGAGACATTGAGACTCTCAGAGACTGTTTAAATATTAATGTATTTTATCATAAATTATCAATTCCTTTCAAATCTGTACTTGAAAAAATGTGTCACATTATCTAGTGTGATTGCTGTTACATTGGTTGTCCTAATTTTTTGTGTAGGAACTCATCTCCAATTTTGTAATCAGTCAGGCATAAAATTGGGTCCAGTATACTGACTTTCATGTGCCAACCCTTTTTTTTTTTAGCAACATGGACTGCACATATCAAATATTTAGTTTATAGTTAAAGAGACCCAAGCTGAGCTGCAGTCATGATTGCTTTATTTTCTGTAGTGCCTAAAGGTTTTTTTTTTTAAATGGGATTAGTTCCATCCTTAGGAGAATGAAGAATTTCATGATCGTTGCAGCTGTCTTTCTGTCATGAGGGATAATTTCCAGTTTCAGTAGTGGCGTGCCGTTGTTGAGTGCCTGTTGGACCCTCTGCCTACCAGTGTGAGCTGGGCAGTCCATTCTCTGGGCCAGAGAACACTCATTATATGCATTGGGTCCCTGATCACTGACTTTGTTCATTGTGGCTGTACCAGCAGCAGCTCTACTGGAGGAAAAAACGTCAAGTTCATGAACTGAATGTTGTGCTTGAAAACATAAATAGCAGTCAAATAGCATTTCTATTAAACACCTGCTGTGCCCGGCACTGTGCTGGGAGCTAGGGACACGAAGAGAAACATGAAGCTGTCTTTTCCCACAAAAGATAAAATGGATGCATGTGAGTTCGTGCAGAATATGGACAGAGTCCCTTGGGAGGGGGCTTGAGCAGCTCTGGAGAGCAGGACAGCCCCCACGTAGGAGTTGTGTGGCAGGGATGAGGACAGGCTGGCAGAGGCCCTCCCGGGGACCTGTGAGGACCTGAGGCCTGGGTGAAGGGGAGAAATGCATGAGAAACTGGGGAAGGGAAGCCAGAGCCGTGTTGTGATGGGCGCTTAGTATCAATGGCAGAAGAGTCGGGGTTGGGTTCTGGGGGATGACGTGGTCAGATGGGGGCGTTAGGAGTATGTATATCATCACTCAAGCAGTGAGGTGGGTTTGGAGGGGAGGGTGAGACAAGTCGGAGAGACAAGAAGGAGGCTCTCAGAGGAGTCCATTAGGGAAATGACAAGCACCTGACTAGGGAGGTGGCAGCATTGGTTCACGATTTATGTAGGTGCCTTTTCCTTTAATGGGCATGCCCATAGTGTTTTAGTTGGTAAGGTGTTTTCTTCACGGAAGCTCAGTGAGGGTGGTGGTGTCCAGGTAAGGAGACAGCATCAGAGAGGCCGTGCTGTGCTCCTTATCGCACAGCAAATCTTGGTGGCAAACCCGAGTGGGCCTCAAGGCCAGACCTCCACCCCTCAACCTCTGCGCGATCAGTGACCTGGGCTGTCACACACTGACTTTTAAAAAGGGGATCGGTGTGCTTCTCTCACTCTGTCCTCATCCCTTGAGCTTCGGTCTGTGGTCTGTGGCTGATCAGAGTGACTTTTGTCACCTGGTTAGCTTTAAGGGCAAAACTGGATACTCATGTGCCTTTCATCATGGCTACCAAGCCCTTTCCCGTTTCCTTGTGTGCAGGGAAGGGAGCAAGGCAGCTGTTCCAAGGTTTCCTGGCTCTGACGTTTGCCTTTTCCAAGTTTGTTTCTCTTTCAGTTGAGGCAAGAAGCCATCTTTTCTTTTTTTAAATGGGTGAGCATCTTACTTTGAATGTTATTTGTGGTCTAGTCAAGCTTCCTAAATTGGGTCATTTAAACCAACTATCTTCCAAGCATCTGGGATCTTAGCTTTGCATTTAGATAAATATGATGACAGTGATTATACCTGGCAGTGCCTTTCTGTGCCTTTCTATATAGTGAGGATTCCCCCACGTTTGTGTCTTTAAGCCTTGTGTTTGTGGCTTTTCCCAGAAACCTCAAATGGGACACTTTCTGGTTGCCAGTTAATCTCACTAAATTAAACGAAGACATCACTGGACCCAAGTGTGGCCGTTTGTATTTTCTGAGTCTTTGGTTCTGTAGTGGTGGTCATTCTGTAGCGTGTTATGTGGTGAGGAAGAACCTTGAAACCAGCCCTTTTCTTTGCCTGCAATAGGTAACTGTCTGAATTGAATAAGCAGAATTCTGACAAACCACAGTGTTCATCACCTGTACCTTTCATCAGCCATGAAAGGAGGCAGTGACGCGCCCTGGCTTGAGGGCCTCCCTGCTCTGCAGGCAGCCAGTGGGAGCAGTGGTGGCAGTCAGCGTGCTCCCAGGCTCCTTGTTGAGGGTGGGGGCTCATGAGGTTGGGAGACAGGAGATCTGGACACCCTGTGACTCAGATTGGTGAGGGGTACAGAATGACCCACACTGGAGTCTCAGTAGACCTGAGACACATCGCTCCTCACTGCTTGTCTGTTTTCTCTGCTCTGAAATGAGGATAAGCTTAAGTGCTCTCTCAAAGGCCTCTTGGCTGTAAATGTACGATCTTAGGGCAAAAAATCCAGTGATATGAAATCCCTCCAGAGATGAAATCAATGATAGAAAGGACTCCTGGCTGGCAAGGAGAATGCCCACAATTCTGAGCTCATGGAGACTGGTGCCTTCGTCCTCCTTAAGGGCCCAGCAGGGAGAAGATTTGCCAAGAGCACCGAACTAGAGACCCTGCGTCTGTGCCCACCTTTGTCATTGACCAGCCGTGTGACCTTGGGCAAACCACTTTGCTCCTCAGTACGATCAAGAGGGTTGTACCAGATCAATCAGCAAGCTTTTCTTCGGTGCCTGCTGCAGTCGGGAAGACGTGACTGTGGCCA